CCCAGGGAGTTCGAGGTTGCTGTGAGCTGTGCGACAGCGCTCTACCCAGGGGAACAGCTTGAGGCTGTGTCTCAAAAAAAAAAAAAAAAAGAAGTATGTTCTAGCCGGGCATGGTGGCTCACACCTGCATTCCTAGTACTCTTGAAGGCCAAGGTGGGAAGATCCCTTGAGCTTGGGAGTTCAAGACCAGCCTGAGCAAAAGTGAGACCTCAACTCTACTAAAAATGGAAAAACTAGCTGGGCATGGTGGCACATGTCTGTAGTCCCCTGAGTAAGATGAGAAAAGAGGATCCTTTGAATCCAGGGGTTTGTGATTGCTGTGAGCTATGATGATGCCACAGCATGCTACCCAGGATGACAGAGTAAGACTCAGTCTCAAAAAAAAAAGTATATATATATATACTTTTCTTTAGGCAGAGTCTCACTCTGTTGCCCTGGGTAGGGTGCTGTGGCATCATAGCTCACAGCAACCTCAGACTCTTGTGCTTAAGCAATTCTCTTGCCTCAGCCTCCCAAATAGCTGGGACTATAGGCACCCATCACAATGCCCGGCTATTTTTGTTATTGTTGTTGTTGCAGTTGTCATTGTTGTTTAGCAGGCATGGGCCAGGTTCAAACCTTCCTGCTTCTGCGTATGTGGAACCCTAACCAATGAGCTATGGGCACCGAGTCAAAAAAAAAAAATATTCTAATGTAAGGGTTTCTGTCTGCTGGTGCTTGCTCAAGTATGAATTTAAGAATACAACCAGTTCAGGGGTAATCAGTTGTATTCTCACTCTGTGACCTACCTTCAGATTTGGAAAGGGGCCCTGTGGCACCCACCAGAGGTTACAAAGGCCTGGCTTTCCCGGAGAGTCTCAGTGGGTCAGGTGATCATGGCACTTGTGCCAACCATGGAAGTTTACTAGGATTCAACTCTTTTAAGTACTTAAACGGCAACTTGGAAGAATATACAACACTTGTTTTCCTTCCTGGATGAGACTGTCCTGCTTTCAATTCTCCAAGCTAAACACACAGTGGATGTTTGCCTGGGTGACAGCCTGTAAACTAAGCGGTCTCTTTGCAGCTAACTGAAGGGTTTGCGTACACAGAGCAGGCTTTAATTATTTTAAAAAAACAAAAAAGTGTTTGGGCTGTGGAACACTGGAAAATAGTCAAAGAAAAAATTTTACATCTATGCTGCTTTTAAATGGATCCCTAGTTGAAGTGTGGGTTGACAGCTGTCCCAGAAATCAGTGCCACAATGAATTAGCATGATGTTGGCTGCTGTTTGGCTTGGTGTTTCTTCAGCTGTGTACCAACTCCTTGGCAAAATAGCACAGGTAAGCCGAATCTCCACTTTTCATCCCGTTTTAGATAATACTCTATTGCAACTTTTTTTTTTTCTCCCCAAAGGATGTCCCAGAGGAGGAATACCAGGTAAACTGATAGAGGAAACTGTTTCCGAATCTCAAGTAATTATATCCTTACAATTGTAGTAATAAACTACTTTTGACTTTTCAAATGTTGTAATACTCCCTTCTAATACCTTACAAGGACCACTAGATTTATAGGCTAAATTGGTAATGATAAGAAAAGTATATAAAGTGTATAAAAGCACTTGTTTCCATTGGATTCTACCCAGGGACAATCTTATTTTAGTTTAATACCCCAAATATGCATAAACTTTACATGGTATAAATCATCTTGCCACTACTCATGTTGCATACATATGTTTTTGGTCATGACTTCTCAACATTAAAGTGAATTCCCAGGGCGGCGACCATAGGTCAGTGGGGAGGGTGCCAGCCCACATACACCAAGGCTGGTGGGTTCGAACCCAGCCTGGGCCAGCTGAAACAGCAACGGCAACTGCAGCGACAGCAACAAAATAGCCAGGCATTGTGGCAGGCACTTGTAGTTCCAGCTACTTGGGAGGCTGAGGCAAGAGAATCGCTTAAGCCCTAGAGTTGGAGGTTGCTGTGATTGTGACAGCACGGCACTCTACCCAGGGTGACAACTTGAGACTCAAAGTTTCTTTTTTGTCTCAAAAAAAGAAAAATAAAATAAAATAAAGTGAATTCCCATTGCTTCTAATATTTATTACCTACGATTCCAAATCAAATGTACGGTTTATTATTATTATTTTTAAGATGATACTCTGGTTTCTTCTCGGATTGATTGATTGATTGATTTTTTTTTTTTTTTTTGAGACAGAGTCTCACTTGTGGCTCTCAGTAGAGTGCTGTAGCATCACAGATCACAGCAATCTCAAACTCCTGGGCTCAAACAATTATCTTGTCTCAGCCTCCCGAGTAGCTGGGATACCAGCACCAGCCATAATGCCTGGCTATTTTCAAAGACAGGGTTTTGGTCTTGTTCAGGCTGGTCTCGAACCTGTGAACTCAGGCAATTCGCCTGCCTCAGCCTCCCAGAGTGCTAGGATTACAGGCGTGAGTCACCACGCCTGGCTTCAAATGTACAGTTTAATAAAAGTTTTTGATTTTACAAATGGATGAAGGCTGGGTTTTAATAGATGTTAAACCTGAAATCCCTGTGGAATGAAACATTATTGCTTAGAAATCATTGATCGAAACAATTTTAATCATTGATCAAAACTGAGAAAGTTTTTCATGAAGAAACTTAAAATGGAAATATACAGATTGAATGTCAGAAGACAAAATGAATTTCATTTATAAAAAGCACTGTGAGTCTGCTCGTGTTAATTACAACTATGGCCTGTGTATAGGGATACTTCTACATGTTCATTCAATCTTCATGGTCTTCCTCCAATCACTCCAGTCATTGTGTGAGACAATGAATGATCCAGATAATGTCCATGTTGCCCAGTATTGAAGTGATTCAATCTGATAGTTTGGGGAATGCAATTTGTTTAAATCTAAATTTTCATTTTTTTTTATTCTAGATGGTGGTAGACACTACTTGTGAAATGTTCTCCCTTAAAAGTTACATGAAAGGGTTAAACCACAACTTTAGTTTTTAATTTCTAGTTTATGAATTAGGTGGTAATATAAGTATCTATTTCTTGCCCGGTTATTTGAATATCCAATTTTTAGCTTCATGGAAGGACAAATTTTAATTATTTTTTGTTTCTGAAAGTGTTTCTTTTACCTGAAATGATATTACAAATGCTGTTGCATTTTCAAAAACAAGTACATAAATCCAAGTTGCTGGGACAGATATTTGTACAGGTATTAAAATTTTCTGTGGTCTGATTTTGAGATATCCTACGCTCCTTCTGCTCTTCGTAAAGTTCCAAGTACACTGCTTCTCTCAGAAGAGTTTCAAAACTATCGGACACTGCTGGTGGGAATGTAAATTGATACAGCCAATCTGGCAGAATCTAGAGAACTTTTAGAGAAATTAAATGTACTTGATTCATTCACCTCAGAGAAACTTTTGCGCAGTGCATAACAAGGCCAAAGAAGGATATTTATCGCAGTGTTGTTTGTGGAGAAATGGGAGGCAACTTAGATATCTGTTACCAAGGGAGGAAATGATAAAATACAGTGGATGCATAAGTTCCCTTTTATCTGCATACATTTTGTTATTTTTTTAGTAATAGCCATTCTGATTGGTATAAGATGATATCTCATGTTTTGATTTGTATGTCTCTGATTATTAGTGATTGAACATGTTTTCATATGCTTGTTGGCCATTCATTTGTCTTCTTTTGAAAAATATCTATGTGTGTCCTTAGCTCACTTTTTAATGGGGCTGTTTGTGGGGTTGTTTTTTTAGTTGTTTGAGTTCTTTGTAAACTTTGGGTATTAGTCCCCCACTAGATGTATAGTTCACAAATATTTTCTTCTATTCCTCAGGTTCTCTGTTTACCCTGTTGATTATTTATTTTGCTGTGCATAGCTTTTTAGTTTAAGTCCCATTTGTCTATTTTTGTTTTTGTTGCCTATACTTTTGAGGTCTTTGTCATAAAATTCTTTTCTTAGACCAATGTCTGGAAGACTTTGGCCTAAATTTTTCTCTAGTATTTTTATAATTTCAGGACCTACATTCAAAGGTTTAATCCAGGGGTCCTCAAACTTTTTAAACAGGAGGCCAGTTCACTGTCCCTCAGACCACTGGAGGGCCGGACTGTGGGCCCCGGGATGAGTTGGTTGCTAAGCAGGACAGACAATGGTGGTAAAAACACCCAGTGGGCTGGATAAATGTCCTCAGAGGGCCGCATGTGGCCCGTGGGCTGTAGTTTGAGGACACCTGATCTTGAGTCGATTTTTGTATATGGTGAGAGATTGAGTGAGATCCAATTTTATGGGAATTCAGTTTTCCTTAGTATATGTTCTTGTTAACTTTGTCAAAGATCAGTTGTCTGTAAGTATCTGGCTTCATTTCTAGGTTCTCTATTCTGTTTTATTCCATCGGATTGCCACATCTATTTTACATCTGTACCATGATGCTTTGGTTATAATTTGAAATCAGGCATTGTGATGATGCCAGCTTTGTTCTTTTTGCTCAGGATTGCTTTGGCTATATGGATTCTTTTTGTTGTGGTGGTGGTTTCATATGAATTTTAGTATTTTTTTTCTGATTCTATGAGAAATGACATTGGGTGGTGCCTTTGGCTCAGTGAGTGGGGTGTTGGCCCCATGTACGTGGTGACACCCCACTGGGTGATGAGTTCAGGCCCAGCCCCAGCCAAACTGCAACAACAACAACAACAAAGAAAAAAGAAAAATGACATAGATATTTTGTTAGAGACTACGTTGAACCTATAAATAGCTTTGGGCAGTATGTCTTTTTTTTTTTTTTTTTTGCAGTTTTTGGCTGGAGCTGGGTTGCCGGGTTATGGGGTCCACACCACACTCCTTTGAGCCACAGGCACCGCCCAAGGCAGTATGTCATTTTAATGACATTAATTCTTCTGATCTATGAGCATAGGATGCTTTTCTGTTTGTGTCATTTACAATTTCTTTCATCAATGTTTCATAGTTTTCCTTATAAGGATCTTTTATCTCTTTGGTTAAATACATTCTTAGGTACTTTATCTAATTTTTTTATGTAGCTGCTATACATGGTATTGCCTTCTTGGTTTGGTTCTCAACTAGATTGTTATTGGTGTCTAGAAACGCTACTGATTTCCATGTACTGATTTTGTATGCTAAAACCTTACTGAATTCATTTTTAAAATCTAAGAGGCTTTTTTGTATAACTTTTAGGGTTTTCTAGATATAAGATCGTGTCATCAATAAACAGAGATAATTTGACCTCCTCATTTCCCGTTTGGATGCCTTTTATTAGTTTTTTTCTCTTGCCTGATTGCTCTAACAAGGACTTCCAGTACTATGTTGAGTAAGAGTGGTGAAAGTGGGCATCTTTGTCTTGTTCCAGTTTTGGAGGGAAATGCTTTTAACTTTTATCTCTTAAGTATAATTTTGGCTGTCAATTTGTTCTATCATATATGGCTTTTATTATTTTGAGGTATGTTCCTTTTATCCCCAGTTTGTTGAGGATTTTCATCATGAATAGATACTGAATTTTGTCAAATGGTTTTTCTCTGCTTCTAGACGATCATATAGTTTTTGTCCTTAATTCTGTTTATGTTACGTATTATGTTTATTGATTTGCATATGTCAAAACATCCTTGCATGCTTGGCATAAAACCCATTTGATCCTGGTGTATTATCTTTTTGATGTGCTATGGGATTAGATTTGCTAGTTTGTTTGAGAATTTTTGTGTCTATGTTCAATAGAAATACTGGTCCATAGTTTCCTTTTTATGTTGTGCCCTTGTCTTGTTTTACTATCAGGGTGATAATGGCCTGGGAGAATGAGTTAGGGAAAATTCCCTCCTCCTCCATTTTGGGGAATAGTTTCAGGAGGATTGGAATAGTTCTTTGTATGTTTGGTAGAATTCAACTGTGACTCCATCTGATTCTGGGCTTTTTGGATGGGAGATTTTTTGATTACTGATTCAATCTCATTACTCATTATTCGTCTGTTCAGAATTTCTATTTCTTCCTGCTTTGATCACAGGAGGTCACGTGTTTCCAAGAATTTATCCATTTCCTCTAGGCTTTCCAGTTTCTGAGCATAAAGTTGTTGGTAATAGTCTCTGATGATCTATTTTGTATTTCTGTAGTATCAATTGTAATGTCTCATTTTTCATTTTTCTTTTTCTTTTTCTTTTTTTTTTTTTGAGACAGAATCTCAAGCTGTTGCCCTGGGTAGAGTGCATCACAGCTCACAGCAACCTCCAATTCTTGGGCTTAAGCGATTCTCTTGCCTCAGCTTTCTAAGCACCTCCCACTGCAGGCGCTCACCACAATGCATGGCTGTTTTTTGGTTGTAGTTGTCATTGTTGTTTGGCAGGCCCGGGCTGGATTTGAACCCGCCAGCTCCAGTGTATGTGGCTGGCACCCACCTGCTGAACTATAGGCGCTGAGCCTCCTTTTTCATTTCTAATCGTGTTTATTTGGATCTTCTTGCTTCTTTTCTTGTTTAGTGTAGCTAATAGTTTATCAATTTTTACCTTTTTGACAAACCATTTTTTTTAATTGATTCTTTGTATTTACTTTTTGGCCCCAATGTCATTTAGTTCTGTTCAGATTTTGCTATTTCTATTTTTGTCAAAATTTATTTTTATTAATAGTAAATAAACACTATTCCACTTTCGAAGTTTTTACACTTAAAGATACTAATAAAGTGAACTTAAAATAATCACTTAGTCATGATTCAACTAAGATGATGAAATGTGGCTCTAAAAAAGTATTTAGCACAATACGCTCATAAGGTCTTTCAGAATTTGTTCTTAAAGTTTCTGGAAATTTTCTGTCTATAAAGTATTGGAATTGCTGAGCTATAATATTAAGCCTCTCTGGGATAGCCAATGTGAGGTTAAGCAATTATCAAAAGAGGAATCACTATACACTCGGCATGTTAACTTGGCCTATGCAATGTCCCTCCCTTCCACTTTAGCTCAGGAAAGACATCCTTCGAAACATGGAGGTATGAGGACTCAACACTGTTATTTGCTGTTAGGATTTGTCTTTCCAGCAAATAACAGTAAATCTCTGGCACAGATACTATTGGTCTTAATTTCCTTTGATTTTAGGAAATTCTGTAAACATTTGAATTTAGTTTAATTCAAAAATTAATAAGGTTCAGTGCTTTGGCAGAATGAGGATCTTATAAAATGTATACAAGGTCCGACAATTAATTTTTCAAACTCATCCTTGAAAAAATGCTACCGTATTATTCTTTATGAATTTGTGCCAACTAGACAAATAGTTAATCAAGTTTACTATTTGGAACTTGTCACCAACTCATGGCTCTTGTATCATGACAATACATAAGCTCACACAGCACTGTCTATGAGGGAGTTTTTAGCCAGTAAATAAATAACTGTATTGTAACACCCTCCTTACTCACCTGATCTAGCCCCCAATGATTTTTTTTTTTTACCTGAAGATAAAGTAAATAATATTAAGAGGAAGACATTTTGATGACATTCAGGACATCAAGGGTAATATGACAATAGCTTTGATGACCATTCCAGAAAAAGAGTTTCAAACTTGCTTTGAAGGGTGGAGTGGGTGCTGGCATTGGTGCATAGCTTCCCACAGGGAGTTCTTTGAAGGTGTCTGCAGTGATATTGAGCAATAAAGTATGTACCGGTGCTTTAAAAAAGGTAAGCAACATTGTTTTTTGACTCTTTTTAAAAAATTTATTATTATTATTTTTTTATTTCTTATAGCATAACTATGTACATTAACACAATCACAGGGTACAGTGTGCTGTTTTCATATACATTTTGAAATACTCTCATCAAACTGGTTAACATAACCTTCATGTCATTCTCTTAGTCATTAATTCAGGCATTCATACTCTGCTTTTAGAAAGATTCACTTGTACCCTTGTCAGATAAACCATATAGGTGACCCCACCAATCACCCTCCCTCCCCCATCCACCCACCTCGCCTCCCCTCTCCCACCCCCTTCCCATATTCTAAGGCTATAATTAGGTTA